CGCCTTTCTTCATGATCAATGTGTTACATGGTACAATGTTTTTTTTTTCGGTCCCCTAGGATTATAGTCTATAAATCTAGTAAAATAATAATTAAACAAACAAATTCTTTTTTTTTTTGTTAAACAAACAAAGTCTTGTTAACCTAACAAAATAAATAGCTAGCGATAACTATATAGTGTTCCAAATGGCACATCAATTTTAATTTAAGCACGATAAATTTGAATGTTTTAATAGTTAAAGACGAGAGTAAGAAAAAAAACTTTTACATGTAATGTTCATTCAATTATAAATAGCTTTCTTTTTTAAGATGTTAAGAACGTATAGGGAAATTTGGAAAATTAAACTATTTTCGGAATATTAAATGCTCCTCAATACCTGAAATTATTATGGATTACATATATACATACATTCTCTACAAACGCATAAATATGTATTATCACTTCACTTGTACATTATATGGCTATATGCGTGCATTACCAGTAAATTTTGATTATATAATATCGGTATTCCATAATCCAGCGAAACTACCTGGTTCACCTCTGTCAACGTAAATTAATTATATAATTTTATAGAGTCAAATATCTTTTTAACAGAATGATTCGGGTATCCATGCATTCCCGTTTATGATCATTCTTTATTTATATGGACTCGTATATGGACCCAGGAATATTTTTTTAAAAATGATTATGTAAATAATGAAGAAGACAAATGTCACACAAGAAGTTAACAAGGTATAAAAAAATTCAATAGCATAAAAATGCATGCATGCATGCATGAATTTTTAAAAATTATCATATAAAGACACGAATATTGATACCAACCACGGATTTGCAAATAATTCCCACATTCCAACATTGACAATAACGGCATATAAGTGGACAAGTTTTAACCTAATGACATAACCTCGAATCGTATAATTTTATAGAGATAAATATCTTTTTACAGAATTATTCGGATATCCATGCATTCCCGTTTATGATCATTTCTTTATTCATATAGACTCGTATCTGGACTCAAGAATATTATATAAAAAAATGATTATGTAAATGGCGGACTGACCTTATAAAGCGCAGACACCAAAATACCATTCAACTCGAAACATGACTGGAGCCTAAAACGTCGTCGTTTTCTTGTTTCTCCTAACCTTCCAGTTTGCTCAGAAGTTTAGCAGCACGGGGGGAGTTTTCAGACATCAACAATGTCGCCTTCTTTTGCTATGATAAAAGTGCCATATTTTGATATTTTATAATTTCGGTAGGAAAATGATTGGTTTAACTTCTTCTTCTTCTGTTTCGGGTAGGTAAAGAAAAGATTAAATCCCATGAAATTTTACTTAAATATAAGAGAAAATATTGGGTGAATTAGCAACATAATTTGCCCAGATCGGCAAACTAACCACAATTGATTTTTATTATTATTATTTTTTAACTCAATTCGATAAGTATCAACTTGACTTTCATGCATAATGTAACAAAAATATATTAAAAAGATTTTATTAACTATTGTCTTTCCGCGAACATTACACATGACATGATGTATTAATGCATTTGGTCACGTTTAGATAAAAGTATCATGTTTGTATGTTGTAGCACAAATTGTCGTGGCGGCGATGAGTGCGAATTCCACAACATGATATTAAGAATAATTACAACACAATATTTTTCCTCCCAATTTTTAACGTCTAAAGATGAGTGCTAAACCCTAAACCCTATGTTTTTTTCCTCCCAATTTTTAATTCCAAATTTTAATCTACAATATTTTTAACCCATAATTTTTCTTTTAGTCCATTATGTGGACCATTTGACAATTCAACCTAGATTTTTTATTGAAAAAAAATATAATTTTATTTTAACCCTATATTTTTACCAATTGTGATCAGGGTGTGATCGTATGATCAGAAATCAGACGAAATCAAAAGAAAATTAGTGAGAAATTGAAAATATGTAAGCATGTGTCGAAATTCAGTTTTTTCATGCACATTGAGAAGAGAACGACTAATTTAGAGTAAAAAAAAGGTCATAATTTGTATAATAATTATGTGGTGTATTTGTATACTAATGTATTACAAAACAGTTGTACAATAATGTCGAAAGACTTTTGTATAATAATTTTGTAATATATTTGTACAATAATGTATTAAAAATTTTGGATAATATTGTGTTTGTACCATAATAATGATGTACTCTTAACCTTGTATTTTCGCATATATCTGACTTGTGTTGTACACAAAATAAATTGACTCACATGAGCCAATGTTTTGACCCATTGTGACGAGCATGTGACCGTGTGACTGAAGTGCAATTTTACATTTTATGATCATTGTGACCGACTGTGACTTGTGACCGAAATGTGTTGATAAATATAGGCCAAAATTTAATTTTTAAACTTTAGAGTGGTTTATCAGAGTCTATATATCAAATATATAGTGTGTGCGAGAAATTTTCAAAATATTTTAAGGGGTTTGTAAAAGAAATATTCCAAATTTGTCAAAAACACTCATAAAACACTATGAAATATATAGAAACACATTTGAAAGAATAACTTTGAAACAAAAAATCGCAAAAACCATATTCTAATGTTCGAAACAAAATAGAATAGGTTTATGAGAGATGTGTGACATTGTAGAGTAATTAAATTGACAAAAATCGCATGGATCGAAGGTTGTGACCGGTTGTGGGGTCCAGATTTTTATATTTTGTGGGGTACACAATCATTATTTTCATTTTTTAATTTTAATATGGGGTCTATTTTGAATATTCAACCCTATATAATTTCCCTCTTAACCCTATATTTTTTTCCTCCTAATTTTTTAACCCCAAATTTTCACCTACAATATTTTCAACCCATAATTTTTCTCTTATTCTATTGTGTGGACCACTTTGACAATTCAACCTAGATTTCTTGTAAGGATTACTTTGACAATTTAACTCATTTCACAATTGGAAAAAGACGTAATTTTATTTTAACCCTATATTTTTTTTCTCCATCAATTTAAGTTTAAAGATTTTCATACAATAATTTAGACCCATATTTTACATAAAACACAAATAAATTCAGATTTCTAATAAACAAAAAACTAAATACAAGAGTTCATAATTTAGTCTACTACTAAATAAAGAAAAGCATATCATAGTTATGATTCAAAACAAAATAAACAAAGTAAATTTATTGAAATAAATTAAAAATTCACATTTTCGTCTTCTGAAATATTTGTAGTTATGTCTTTCGATTCTACTTATGCGTTTATCAGCTCTATGAACATGGTATCACAAGTCAAATAGTTACATCCTATGTAGGTCACGTGATGCTTTATAATGCAGGTATGGAGTTCATACATCGTCTCTTCCATGTACTACAAAATAAAATAATATATGTCAATAATATTTTCTAGATATCATCATATGACACTGTGACCATGTGACTATATGACTATAAAACTATGTGACTATGAGACTGTGTGACTATGTGACCATGTAACCAGGTTCGTTTTCAGATGTCGTATCCAAAATTGAACCCTTCTATCTGTACTCCCCTCATACCCTTCCGAATAAAAAAGAAGTGTTTTTTCACCCCTTTCTATATGCAATATAGTCAATCAGAATTATGTGATCTTGTGACCATGTGACCTTGTGACCATGTGACCATATGACAATGTGACTATGTGATCATGTAATATGTGACGATGTGACACGTGACTATTGTATATTGTGATATAGACGTACCTATATGACCCTGTGACCCTGTGATCTTTGTAACTGTGACCGTGTGACATTGTGACCATGTGACCTTGTGACCATGTGACCCGTGACTATTGTATACTGTGATATAGGGATACCTATATGATCCTGTGATCACACTATGACCTTTATGACTGCAACCATGAGACCATAGCATTTGAATCCTCATGTCATCCAAATTTTCATGTCATCTATACATCCAAACAACGATCCATACCGTGATGTGACCTATATGACTGTCTTATTTGACCGAAACTCAACCATTTCATTTGATTTGATCTATAAACCCGCAAACCAACATTCTATTTTGAAATCCCTAAATTTAGAAAAAAAATCCAAAACCCTAATACTTTATCGTTCAAATCCCCAGCCCACACTTTAGCCCAACAAGAACACATCTCAAAATCAAACAAATTTGCAAATAAATTGAATTTTAACCTACCTTGTGTTCATCTAACTCCGGAATCTCCATACAGTTCCCACTTTTGCTCGAAAAATGTGACGAAGATTAACATGAACTTGTCATTTCTTCGATGTCGTCACTACTTCTTCTATCTCCTCGATTTTTGATGGCTAAATGAAATTTGAAAAATCCAAAACTCTAAATTTCTATCAAATTCCAAAACCACACTTCAACTCAACAATAACAAATTTTAAAATCCAACAAATCCAAAAGAAATTGAAGTTTAACCTACCATATTTTTGTCTAACCTTATCATTTCCATACGGTTTTCATTTCTTCTTCAAATCTTGAATCTAACCGGAGATTTAAATAGAAAATAGAACAAAACACAAAAGATTGCACAAAACGCAAAAGATTAAAAGTTTTGAAAGAGGGTGAGAGAGCTAAAAACGTGAGAGTTAGGAAAGAGAAGAAAAAGATTTATGAAGAGAGAGAAAGTGAAAGAATACTAAAGTTAGGAGAGAGAGGGGAATAAAAAGAAAGTTATATAAGTTTATTTTTTTTTAATTTTGAATTTTTTAAATTGAAAGAAATAGAGGGTTTTTTGTCTCTGAGAATTTTATTGTCTTTTGCAATATTGAATAGTATTTTTTGTTTAATTTTTTGTTTGGATGTATATTAAAAATACAAATAGCAGTCAAAGCTTCCATAATTTCAAAAAAAAAGGAAAAACGAAAAGGTGAAAACCACTGAATGTGATGGCAATAACGTAAGTATAAGATTCAGATATTTTGGCCCTTAGTTTCACAATAAAGATGGTTTATGGTTTTGGGATTTTCCCAATAAAGAAAAAGGCAAAAAGGCAAAATATAAGAGTGTTTTCTGTGACCGACGGAGAGGAATAAGGTATTCTCATTCTCGCCTTTATTTTAGGTTCCCAAATCGATTGTCTAGGGTTTCTTCTTCGACCATGGATCCGAAATCGCCGAGCGAGAGCAAGACGATGACTGAAGAAGCTCCGAACGAGCAGGAGACGAAAACGGGGTCAATGGGGATCGCTGATTCGTCCGTCAAGAAGCGCAAGGCCGAAGAAGATGCCTCTGATTCCGAATATGCGTCTGATCCCGAGGACGACGGCGAAGATGGCGAGATGGAGGTCGAGAATGAGGCCGGCCGGCCTCATTCTCGACCTCCATCTCGCCATCTTCGCCGTCGTCCTCGGGATCAGACGCATATTCGGAATCAGAGGCGTCTTCTTCGGCCTTGCGCTTCTTGACGGACGAATCAGCGATCCCCATTGACTCCGTTTTCGTCTCCTGCTCGTTCGGAGCTTCTTCAGTCATCGTCTTGCTCTCGCTCGGCGATTTCGGATCCATGGTCGAAGAAGAAACCCTAGACAATCGATTTGGGAACCTAAAATAAAGGCGAGAATGAGAATACCTTATTCCTCTCCGTCGGTCACAGAAAACACTCTTATATTTTGCCTTTTTGCCTTTTTGCCTTTTTCTTTATTGGGAAAATCCCAAAACCATAAACCATCTTTATTGTGAAACTAAGGGCCAAAATATCTGAATCTTATACTTACGCTATTGCCATCACATTCAGTGGTTTTGACCTTTTCGTTTTTCCTTTTTTTTTTTTTTGAAATTATGGAAGCTTTGACTGCTATTTGTATTTTTCATACTACATCCAAACAAAAAATTAAACAAAAAATACTATTCAATATTACAAAAGTCAATAAAATTCTCAAAAAGACAAAAAACTCTCTATTTCTTTCAATTTAAAAAATTCAAAAACTAAAAAAAATTAAACTTATGTAACTTTCCTTTTATTCCCCCCTCTCTCCTAACTTTATTATTCTTTCATTTTCTCTCTCTTCATAAATCTTTTTCTTCTCTTTCCTAACTCTCACGTTTTTAGTTCTCTCACTCTCTTTCAAAACTTTTAATCTTTTGCGTTTTGTGCAATCTTTTGTGTTTTGTTCTATTTTCTATTTAAATCTCCGGTTAGATTCAAGATTTGAAGAAGAAATAAAAACCGTATGGAAATTGTAAGGTTAGAAAAAAACATGGTAGGTTAAACTTCAATTTCTTTTGGATTTGTTGGATTTTAAAATTTGTTATTGTTGAGTTGAAGTGTGGTTTTGGAATTTGATAGAAATTTAGAGTTTTGGATTTTTCAAATTTCATTTAGCCATCAAAAATCGAGGAGATAGAAGAAGTAGTGACGACATCGAAGAAATGACAAGTTCATGTTAATCTTCGTCACATTTTTCGAGCAAAAGT